GGGGGGTGGCTTCAACTATTTTTGCCTGAATTGGCAAACTCAGGCCTCAAACTGAAAAATATGTGACAAGGAGCAACCCCAATTTTTTAATTCTTTCCTACTCATTTTCAATCTCTCGTCTTTATCGTATCCCACAAAATATTTCACCTTTTTTAGTTCCTATAATCGTATAGTTTCCATAGTTTATTACGTACATGCAGTTCACCATAGGAGTCGGAGTGAACAACAACTATTTTGAATACTGGTCCTCTAATTATTTAGGCTACACAATGTCACACACCAGTACTTGTCCCATTACCTATTTTACACCTTTAAAATGTAACAAATTAAATGTTGGAGTGCGGGGAAGTGCTGAATTTTCTATATGAAGGTGGGGGCGTCTTGAAAATAAAGGTCTTGCGATCGGGGGCTGAAGTCTTTGAAAACTCAAGAGTGTATGTTTTTCTAAATTCCACGAGAAACCGTACTAGATAGATAGATAGATAGATGATTTATTCAGTTTTAAAAGACTTTACAGCTGATAATGGCTGAATTGTGTTAAAACTTTACAATTATAAAAATTTAAGAAACCTAATGATTAACAATATTTACAATTACTAACAATAAAAGAATTCATAAACCAATCAGTTTTGGCCCTTGGAACGTTAAGTTGCCTTTTACGTCTCAGTTGGTATGAACAGTTATTTTCAGATGGTAGTAGAGGTCTGAGTTTGTGGGATTGATCTCGAGTGATCTCATTAAACAGTTTGCACGTCAAGAGCTGCCTGCGTTCGAAGAGGCGAGGCAGACCGCTTTCTTCGAGGGAATCAGTGTAAGGCATCCAAGGGTAGATTATTCTTAGAGCTCTCTTCTGCAGCCTTTCAATTACTTATTAATAATATACTTTACTATTACTTATTAATAATATACTTGAAAAAATTATGCAGTCATGTCCATGCGTAGGTACCTGGGTTCAGAGGTTTTCTGGAGGCGACGAGACCGCCTGAGTGCAGGCTTCAGCAAAACAGGAAACCCCCTGATCCAGGGTAATGCGTAGGTCACATTAGAAAATTTTGTTACTCGTAATTTATTTATTTTTTATTATTTTCACTTTTTGCACTGTATTTCTCTGTTTGGCACATGTCGTAAATAAGTAGACAAACATTATACATTGATAACATGAAGTATTGACTGTTTTCGCGCCCTTTTTCATGGACGCCATGTTGTTGTTATTCCACGCTTTATATTATCGAAAGAACCTGTATTAATCGTAACAATATACCAATAAATACTTGAAATTATGGTGCCGTGACCAGGATGGAAGAACAACAACGTCTAATAGCATCACGGAGAGCACACAGAGCACATTTAACGAAAGTTTTGAAGAAAATTACCGAACTAAAAGAAGTAGAAGACGATCAAAATGAACAGCATGCTATTGTGACACTTGGCAGTTAATATTTAGAGCAACTCCAACGGAAAGGACACGTACTATCAGAACTAGACAATAAGATATTTGAACTATTCACAAAACCTGAAGATTTGGAAGCAGATATTATCGAGGCAGAAGACACACAGAGTTTTATCGCAGAGACAATTTGTACAACTAAAAAATTTATTGAGAACAAAATCAAGTCCATGAACATAAGTCAGCACGACCAAGCAGCAGGAGCGAGTAACAATATTCAACAAACGCCAGAAAGCAACCAGGCAACAAGCAGTGAGAGCGAGTCAGCAGGAAATCAACCATCAACACCAGAAGAGACACAACCACAATCAAGCACAGTAAGTGAAAATTTACCTGTCAATTTAAACCAGCCACCCACTACAAGTACGTCAGTTACAAGTACAAACCCCACCATTTCGAACAGTAGTTACAGCATGAGTCGACTCCCAAAGTTAGCACTACCAACCTTTGACGGCAACCCCTTGAATTGGCAAACGTTCTGGGATTCCTTCCGCACAGCAGTACACGATAACCCGTATCTAAGCAACATACAGAAACTGAACTATTTAAGAGCCCAGTTAATTGGGGAAGCATCAAGGTCAATCGCTGGGTTTCCTTTAACCGAAAATAACTATCTAGAGAGTATCAAACTATTACAAGAGAGATTTGGTCAACAACACAGAGCAGTGAGTGCACACATGCAAGCATTATTAAACATACCAAGCCCGACAAGTACCTTGTCTA